AATTCTGGCCTGGGCCTCCCCGGTGGTGCAGAGGTTGAGCGTTGGGTTGCGAAGCTGCCCGCAGCCTCTGCAGCGCTGGTATAATCCCTGGCTGCTGCCCGGACACCAGAGGAGGGTCCTACATGGCACGCAGACCTCTCCTGCCGCCCGCTGCTCCCCTCAGCAGTGTACTGCGCTCCTTCTGCCTGCTCTGCTCCCTGCTCTGGCTCTGGTGAATTCTCTCACCCTCCCGCGCTTCTGACTGTGCCCAGTGCTTGTATAGATAAATAAATAAAAAAAAAAAAAAAGAAAAAGAAACATTACAAGTTTAAAAAAAAAAATTCTGGCCAACATTAGTGTTGGCAGATCAGTTACTTTACAGAATATTCCTCAGTTTGGGTTTGTCTGATACAGCCTTTTGGTTAAATGCATGTTGTGTTTTGTTGGCAGGAATGATACAGAAGTAATGCTGAACACTTTTCACTGTCATATCAGACAGTACATGCTGCCCATTCATCCCATTACTGGAAATGTTAATTTTGATAACTTTGTTAGATTGTGTCTGCCAAAGTTCTCCACTATAAAGTAATATTTATCGTTTACAAATATTTTGAGGGAAGATAATTTGAAACTATAGTCATCTTAGTCTTCAATCTTTCACTAAATAGATAAGGATCCATTCATAACTTTTCACTGAATCAAGCATTAATAGGATACTTGCTAAATGATTATACATTTATTAGTTTTTATTTTTCTTTCACGAAAGGGTTTTTCATTCTTATTCATTCATTCATTATATCTGTATGTTTCATAGGTCCTTAATGTTATTCAGTGTGTTATAATCCTTTACTACCATTATTTACATTGATGATCAAATGTTCCAGATTTGCTCAGTGGGAACCACTTTCAAATATTTTTAAGTGTTTACAACCTGTATGTGTGTATATATATATATATATATATATATATATATAAAATATATATTAGGCACTGGAGATACAACGATGAACAAAACAGGGAAAAATATACCTGGTCTAATAGAGCTGTATTCAGTTTGTGAGAGAAAAAAAAAAAAATGGAAGCAAATGGTATAGTACATTAGGAAGCAATAAGCATTATGGAGAAAAAGAAAAGCAAAGATCAGCCTTTGGTGTAGGCAATGTTGTAATTATTTTGCTTAGGCAGGGTCAGGAGAGCCTCATTGCTAGGCATTATTTGAGCAAAGACCTGGGGGTATGGAGGAACTAGTAGTGTGGCTTCTAGAGGAAAACTCTCCCAGGCAGCACTGAGCACTCCAGAGCGGAACAGCTGCATTTCCTTGAGGTGGGAATCAGTTGGTGCTGGTGGGATTCTTCTGGTTGCTGAGTAAAGACAGACTGTGGGAGGCAAGGATAAGAGTGAGGAGACCAGTATCTCCCACGGTGCCTTAAATGTCCACAGTGCACATGCCTCAGGATTTGACATGTTAAGATATATACCCTCACTCTGTGAGCACAGCGTAGGTGCTTTTTATGCTGTATTTCTTAACTCTCAAAACAATCTTAGAGTAGGTGTTATGTTCCATGTGAGAAAAGTGAGGCTCAGAAATGCTTCGGGGGTGGGGGGAGTCCAATGGACTGTGTTGGAGGACTTTGGTGGTGGGCATGGTGTGGCAACATACATTTGAAGAGCTGTGAACCTGTACCTAAGACATATACAGTGCTGTAAACTAGCATTGCCTCAGAAAGAAAAATAGCATTTTCTTTTCATTAAAAAAATAAATAAATTCTTGGGCTTCTCCATTTGCCATACTGCCTGATTTTCGTGACAGAGAAATGATCAGTCAAGGGACAGGACATTGTGGATGATTCCATAAAGAGCAGTGATGACTCTAGGGAGAGTTTAGGATTTCTGTTGCCCACTCCATTTGTTCTCTGCAGCTATTCTTCTGCTCTAGTATTTTCTGCCAATTAAAAAGGGTTAACCATGTGGTTAACTAAAAGAGGTCTTATTTCTTTCCAGATCTGCAAGGAAAATGTCCCCGTGATGTTTATGTCTGTGTCTGTGTGTAAAGCACGTATATATTGGGGGGGGGGGGAAATAGCGGCACATCAAGTCTGCAAAGCTGAAGCATCGGGGACTCCCCCAACCCAGAACCATCAGTGGTGTGGTATGAGCATTTGAATTCACATCCACGTTTCCATACAATTGTTCAACAAACCACCTGGTTATGCAGACCTAGCTCTTAAATTATTGATCTTTTTATGCCCATAAGCATTCATAAACATGCTCAGCATATATATGTGGAGAGAGAGAGAACAGAATGAAAAATTTAAGTAGCAAAAGTCCCGTGCAGGCAGATTTTCCCATCTGCACTAGGGTGTGTACTGTGCCAAGGTGGTTTATATGATGGTCCTGAAATCACTGCTGGTATTAATTCACAGTTATTATTAGCTCACAGCAATTTTAGAAAAATGTGTTGCTTCGCCCCCACCCCACCCCCTCAGCCCCCCAGCAAGAACATGAAGTCCTCCTTATCACATTTTCTGTAACGTAGAAACTTTTATGCCACCCATGTTTTCCTGACAAACCATCTTTGGCCAGATCCATTTGTCCAGACCCCAGCCACCTGCCTGTCCTCAAATGTCTTAATCTACAGCCGTGACAACACTCAGGATATGTTTGTTTGCCCTGTATTTCCTTGGAATGCACAAGAGCCAGCAATTTGGCCGAAAATCCCAGGGAGGAAATCACATTTTGTCACAGATAGCAGGAGCCATGCATCCAAAATTTAGGGTCATTTGATGACTGTCACTTTATGACCTTATGCTGCAAAACCTGCCCCCTCAGGTATGTGAAGAACTTTAATATTTGTAAATCTCCCTGATCGCCACAGATACGAAGTAGAAATAAAGGGCGAAGTATTATTAATTATGTGGGGGAAAGTGGATTGATAAAGTTTGTTCCTCAGCAGAGAGACCTACAGTCACAGACACTATTTTCACAGGGGGAGGATTAGCTATAAATCTTGATTTCCTTTGCACTTATGAAATGCCCAATGCCGGTTTAATGCAGCCCTCCCACTCCACACTCTGCCCCTGACTCTTAATGCTGTTGAAGTTTTTATCAAGCCGAGCCTCGCTATTCACAATGCACAATGTGAGAGTTCATCTAATTAGCCGATTTCAGTTCATTTGGCATTAAATAATTCCCCAAATTCCCATATGTTTGAACAATATGGTCAACAAGGGAGAGGGTTCTCTGAAAGCAATTAAATAGTTCTTTTAGGAGAGCTTGTCATCGGTCACTCATAAGCATCCCTGTCTGAGATGAACACGGGTGCCAACTCCCTGGGCAGTACCTCACCCTCCCTAATGGCCACTGGTAGGCGTCCACATGCAGACCGCCACTTCCTGCTAGCTTTAGCTCACAGCAGGGTTTCACATTTTCTTCCAGCCTTAGGTATTTTGTTCTAGGCTGCTTAGAGAGCATTTGTTATTCCTAACATGCTACTTTCCAATCCCTCTCTCCTGGCTGGCCTGTCCTGCTTAGAGGTAAAGGCAGACATATTTCCCATGGATTCTAGGCTTTGCTTGTGTGGGAAGAATTGTCAACTTTTGACCATGGTTGTCGGTGTGGAACACTGAATTTTCTGAAGGCATCTTCAGTGTTCCCTGGAAGGGGGAGGCAGTGCAGTAATGCTCAGTCTATGTTAAAAACAGTAGATGTAAGAGGCTCCTGTTCAGTTATATGCCTTGAGTGTTATTGCAGCAGCAAATTATAGATAATAAGCTAGAGTGTGACTGTTTAACTTGAGAGAACAGGTGATATCAACAAAAGCAGTTCAGAAATATCTTGCTAGATAGAATCATAGAAAAACTGTACAAGATCATAGAAAAAGTGGTATATTTCAGAACTTAATTTTACCTTTATCTTGCTCAAGGGTTGTTTTTTTGACATATATGAATGCCCTTCCTAGGTGAGGTGAGGGAAAACTTAATAATACCAATCCTCACTCTAATGTAACACTGTTCTTGGAGAGTCCTGAATTACTTCACTGACTATATTCTGACTCTCTACAATTCTTACAAGTGAAAATCCAAAAGGAAAAAAAAAAGATCAAATTTTGTTCTAAAGCATGGAAGTAGTAGGTGAAAAGTAAGTAGACTTTTGGGTTCTTCTGACTGCTGTCCTACACTGAAACAGAGATTAGAATCAAAAGATAAGGGCATGAAAGGGGGAGGCATTCAAGGAAGTGGTATCATCTCCATTTAGTTAAGTTTCATTCTTGTCTGTTTTATGACTTTGTCTTCCCATTGTAAATAATTCACAATACAGAGAAATCTAAATACCAGTGTCTGGTGAAACACTTTTAAATTGGGATCTAAAATAGGAAAGAGTTGGGAGATCTATATTTATAGATTTGATTTCTGCACATGGTAATGGTCTACTGTAACCTGTACATTTGTGAACTGGTAGAAGGTAAATATTTACAAACCCAGGCATGTTAGAATGTGTTTTTGTTCCATAATTTGTTTTCTCACTTTACTTTCCAGCATTAAAAATATTTGTGGAATGTGTGACTGGCAGAAAGGAATCTGATGGAAAGGTTACCAGAATGGTCATTTCCCTAAACATTTTGGCTTTGGTCATTGGTAATGTTACCATCAAGATTATGGACTCAAGGGGCGGGTGGGGGGGGTGGAGGGGTGGAGTTTGGGGTGTGTGTATGTGTGTGTGTGTGTGTACGCGTGTGTGTGCATGTGCACCACACCAGCCAGGTCTTTTCTTTCGTCTGTTCTGCCCTATAATTCTGAAGCATTTGTCACTTTGTAAAAGCCTAGGTTTGACATCTGGGCTCACATGCAGTCTGTCACTGGACTGTTTCAGGTCACATGCCTGTCATCACAGCAGCCCACTGCTTTGGTGCACCACCAAAAGGGAATCCTGGGAAGGAATTTTGCTCAGCCTGGAACTAAATTGTTATGCCAACATGTCCCCTCCTTTACATGCTTCTCTTTCCTCCTTTGCCCACTATAAAGCCTGCAGTCAGATGGATCCGAGGTGCTCCTGAGTCCTGAAGTCACCTGCGGTCCCCCAGATATGATTGTCACCACTCCCTTTGCATTGACCATTCCACACTGTGCGGATGTCAGTTCAGAGCACTGGAACATACACTTAAAGAAGAGGACGCAGCAGGGCAAGTGGGAGGTGAGACCATATTCTTCCTTTTTAAAAAAGCAGTATTTGGAATAGACTTGTAGTAGTGAGCTGAATATGTGCATATACTGATGCATAAATCATGCACACCTGAAACCTATGTGGTGTTATGAGTCAATATGATTTTAAAATTTAAAAAAAAAATAATAAAATTGAAAATAGGATTTGGGTCCCACCAATGGGATAGATTGAACTTTACTCTCTCTTAAGACAGTGAGCCAGCTGGGAAATTTGTGAGCATTATCTTGCTTTTTCAGAGGGTTGATGGCACAAGTCTTACAACATCCTCAAGGCACTGGCTAGTGTTTGTCCATGTCATGGAAGAGGCGAGAGGAGGGTTTTTGTTTGAATTTAGAAATCAGCTGTAACCCACATAGACTTGTGTTCTCAAGGACAGTCTTTGGCATGTGAAACTCTGACTCTTCAGTGCTCTCGGGCCACATCCCTATCTGAATTGACTTTCCTCTGAGGCCTCTGTATGGTTAGGGAGGAGGTTCAGTTAGGCTGTGTTCATAAAAGAAATCATCGTATCTGTTTTTGCCATCAGAGGAATTATAACAATGAAGTGTTCACCAACATGGTAGTGCTCAGTGTATTTTGGTAAATGAGTGAATGCATTGGAAATGATTCTGCATCTTTCCCTGTGTATATGAGTCCAGGAAAAGAGATATACACTGCAAGGAGAGAACAAGAGAGAGACATGAAAAGAGCCTACATGAGAGGATGGTAACAAGGGAGATAGTCACAGCAAAGAAAGGTTGCAGTGGAATTACTATTTTAAGTGAAACCTCTGCTTTATCTGTCTGATAGGGATTTCTTTTATGTCCATCTAAAGTCAGTTTGCATGAAAGCAGGTGAATTATCTTGCTGGAACAGGTCATTGTGTTCCAACTAGTCCTGAGATTTTACCTCCCAGGTGGAGCTCCGGGCAAAAGGAGTAAAAGGAAAATCATGTTTCTTCAGGAGAAAAAAAAATTCCCAGTTGCTGCAGTGGATTACATTTACCCTGTCTTGAAACTATGTCTATTGTCTTTGTTGGAAATACATTATTATTTATTCAGTTGAAGTACAACCATAGGCAAATTTCCTGGGGCATGAAGTTCCATGGATTTCATAAAGGGACCAGGTTTTGGTCTCCTTTCCATTATGTTTGCTTTGCCTTGATTTTTTGCCACTTTAGTTTTTCTTCTCAGCACTTCCTCACAATCTTTTATATCCAGAAGGTATTATATTTATGCTTTATCAAACCAGTCACACATACGGAAGTTCTTGTCAGAGAGAGTGAGATATTCTAGTATATCTTATCCAAACCATTTACATAATGGTCCTTTGTGAATGCTTTTGGGGAAAGAAAAAAGAAAATATTTGAAAGAAAATACGTATTACACCTATGGATATGGAAGAGATCAGAAATAGACTTTAAAAAATGTGAAAGTTTGCTTACTGATGTTAATGTTCAAGACATGATTTTTTTAAGTTTGACATTGAACAAATTAATTGAAAATGGGAGAAATTTCTAAGCAGTGTTAGAGTCTGTTAAGTAGAATTCTAACACCTGGAATATAGCCTATTGTGATAGAAGAGTGATATTGTTTAACACCAAGAAAATTAAGGCAATAAAAGTGTTCTGTTTTTTTATGCTTGATTGTTTATTCACATATGTAGGGAGTGGATGTAAATATGTATGTCCTTGCAAAGTAATTAGATCACATCTTCGTTCCAAGTCGAGAGTTTAACATAAATTTTCTCAACAGGAAGTGATGTCAGTGGAGGATGAATCCACATCCTGTTACTGCCTTTTGGATCCCTTTGCATGCCATGTGCTCCTCGACAGCTTTGGGACCTATGCCCTCACTGGAGAACCAATCACAGACTGTGCTGTAAAGCAACTCAAGGTGGCAGTCTTTGGCTGCATGTCCTGTAACTCTCTGGATTACAACTTGAGAGTGTACTGTGTGGACAATACCCCCTGTGCATTTCAGGTCAGCCTTTTTCCTAAAATTCTTTTGGTGTCATGAAAGCATAGAGTTACCTAAATATCAACATCAATGGACAATTCTATTGAAGGGGCTCTGGAAAATTAACCCACACCACTGACTTGTTGGGGATGCCTATCTTGAAGCAAAGCTATGATACCATATATACAATAACGCAGTGATTCCTGAGAATATGAGGGGAGAGAATCATTAACACATGTAGAGAACATTGTGTTATATTAAATTGACTATGATAGTTGATAATTGGTCAGATTTTCATGATTATAAAAGTACTTATATTTTAAACAAAATTTTGTAAATTATAAAAATTACTAGGCATAATTACAAAACTTATAGAAGTCAGGATTTAGAAAACAGATAACCAGTTGCAATAGAGGCATTGGAGAAGAGCCTTTGAGAACTCTTTGTAAACCGTCATGGCTGGATCTTACACCTGGATGAGCAAAAGAAAAAGATTTACCTTGTCAGGAATGGAGAAATGGCCTGAGTCAAGGAACAATAGTGATTTGATATGCTGAGGGCACAAAAGTTTGCTTATTATGAATGAGAAAATTGCTTGACTCAACTGAAGGTTATAGTTAGGGAAAAACAATTATAAATCACACCTATCAGCAGACAGTCGTTATATCCCGGACACATAGTCTATTAATTATTAGGGCTACTAGGGCAGAGACAGTTCAAGGTTCCTTTCCATTTTTGGTACTTTTAATCATGTAAGATTCATTTTAAATTAGCTACTCAGGAAGAGTACAAGTTTATTAATAGCAGAAAGGATAATGCAGAAGTGCCTGTGTAAGCTCTGCCCATAGATAAATAGCATAGCTCTCCTGACACACCTCATTCCAGATCCCTGCTATTCCAGTCCTGGATCATTAAGTCTATTATGCAGAACATTTCCTCAGTAACTAGCTTTTAAGACACTGAGCTGGAAAAACTCATGTTTACCAATAGAAAAGATACAATGACCTAAATCCTGAACATAAGCCAGTAAGGGTGACACAGTGCCAATCTATGTTCCCCAGCCTTCCCTCTTTATCTCTTAGGTGATATGAAGTCATCATGAAGGGCACTCTTAATATTTAGCAGCTTATAAAATGGGCTTTGTGGGAACTAAAGGGTAACTACAGTAGAAAAATCTGGCAAACACTAACTCATCAAGTGATCAAGGTTAACTTCAATAGTAATAGGACGTGTAGACAGCATGTACTTCTGTTATGATGTGATGAGAATGGCATTTAAATTCTGTGAGCTTTCTCTCAAGAACCCATAAACCCAGATAAATGAGAAAATATCAAATTCTAATGGGGGGCATCTTACAGTATGCCCAACTGTCCATGTCATCAAGAACAAGGCGAGTCTGAGAAATTGTCATAGCCAAGAGGAGCCTCAGGGGACATTATAATTAGACTGTATTGTGGTATCCAGATAGGATCTTGCAACAAACAGAAAACTAACCTTAGATTAAAAAAAATAAGGAAATCAGAGTCAAGTATGGACTTTAGTAATAATGACTCAACATTGGTTCATTAATTTTAGCAAATGTACCATACTAATATAAGATGTTATTGATAGAAGAAACATGCGAATTCTGTATTATCTTGTAATTTTTCTATGAATCTAAAACTGTTCTAAAATAGACTGTTTAACAATGGACTATGGTGAAGGACATGCTTTGGTGGTGAGAGTGCTATGGTGACTGCACCTATGGGATGGGGTTGGGGGAATCTCCTATACTGTCAAAACACTAGCAAGAATGTAAAGTAATGATACCTCAATTAACAATTAACAGTTAAAAATAAAATAGAATATTTTATCAAAAACAAAGGGCTTTTTTCATAGGATTGAGATTTTATAAAGATCTTGAGTGTATATAGCTCTACTTCATCCTATGATTGCCATTTTATATTTCACCTACTTTCTCCACCTGCAATAAGAGGGATTCTCCAAGACAAAATATATAACAGCAATCAGAAGAATGAATTGAGATATTACTACCACTGAACAGTTATAAAATGTACCATGACTCAAGTTGCATGTTTAGTAATTCAGCCAGGTTTTGATGGTTGCATTAAATGGAGTAAACACCAGAAGGGCTGTGGAGGTATTCCAGTCTCTAGGTTCATGAGCAACCTGCTGCCACTTAGCATGAGGATGAGTGTCTGTTCAGCACAACCACCTTGGAAGTCAGCCCTCATAACCAGCCCTTATATTTCTTTAAATAATGATCTCACTGCCGATGTATATAACAGTGAGTTAGACATTTGCCTAAAGAGTTCATTCTAAGTCACTTTCAGATCATCTATTTTCATTCCTGTTGATTGCTACCAGACTCTACAACAGCTCAACTGTTCACAGATGAATCTGAATTGCAACGAAGTTGTGAAAATGAGGCCCTAAGCACAGCTTTTCAAACCACTCTCCATTCTGTGGGTAATATACTCTTCTTAGTCAATGCTAGGGAAAGTGGTTTTCTCCCTCTAATTGAATCCAAATATCCTTATCGTTTAGAGATATTACTTAAAACTCTTTAATTTCTCCATAGAGAAATGTTTTCCAGTGAAAATACCTTTGGCCCCATATGTCATAATCTATTCCTGGCGATTCTTTCCTGTCCTATTATGTCAAACATAGCTGATTTATTATTGACAGGATGTATGTGACAGCTGTCATGAGCAGCAAAGGCCACACTTCCCCCAAGGGGTTCTAAGACATCATCAGACTTGGTTGGATAACATTTCCAACCGAGAGATAGATTAAAACATGACTTGTACATTTTCTGTGTATTTACTCCCCAGCCCTAGTCAGAGTTTTGTTTCTGAAAGGGATCTTGCTCTCTGGATTTTTACCTTATGAAATAAATGTATTCAAGACCTTCTGCAGAGGATCATTTAAACCACCATCATCTCCCAAATCATCTATGTGCTATTTTTCATGACTTCTTATGTGGCATTTAATTAGAGGGGAAAATTATATAGTTACTAACCCATTAAAACCGTTCCACTTTAAGAAAGCCTTAGCAACAGTTCACTTTTTGAACCTCTTAAAGACTTCACACATTAATATTAGCTCCAACAACTTGTGTGGTTATGAGCTGAAAATATTATATGCAGTGATGACTCATTTTCAGTAACTCTGATAGAACTCTGACTTCTTAATCAAAAATAATATGTAGTTTTTCACGAAGCATTTCTGCAGAAATTGCCTATCCTGGAACTTGCCTCTGCTATCACTGTAATGAAAATGTTTGTCATGATTTGGAAATAGACACAAACATGTCTGTGACAGTTACGGTATTTATTGTAGTGCAGCCTTCATATCTCAAAGAAACCATAACAAATATGTGTCCCACTAGAACTGTGCTCTTAACCAAGAAGAAAACCTGATTAGAGGCCACAGTTCCATCTTTCAGTTCATTCATGTCTCACTGGGAAATGATGTCACATAAAATACATAAAAGCCCACCCTTTACAAGAAAATCTGGAAAGAGAGTTTCCAGACCCTATTTGCTACCCTCTTAGAACTAGGAGAGAGTCCAGCAATATAATGGTGCCACCAGAAAAAATATTCCTTTAGAGGATTTTCGTAATTAAGCATTCTCTATTTTTAGTCACACCCTCCTTCCCTATACTGTCTGCAGAGTTAACTTGGCTTGCTTTTCAACTGCTCTGCAGACATTTTATCAGAAATATAGTAGCAGCTTCTTTGAATGACAAAATACCTCATAACACCTTGGTAAGATAGTTTCAGTTTTTTTTAAGATTTGTTCTGATAAAATATATCAAAAACTATTTCTATGCATAAGTAAATCAGCTATGTTTTTAAAAATAAAATTGCTACCTGTCTGAAGGTGAGAAAAGGGTAAGAAGAGAAGCAAATGACTTCTTATCCTTCCTGCTTCTGAGTTCCTGTAATAATTAAAGCTGCCATTTTAGTTTATTTGATATCACCTCCTTTGATGAATTCAAAGTGAAAGTTGAGGAACAGTACCAATTTCAAACCTAGTTTTGATTATCGTGTTTTATTAATACACAGACTCAGAGCTCTAACAGACCTTGACACAGGAAAGTACAAAATGAAGCACTGCCCTATCTTACAAAGAAAAAAGAAAACACTCATTTATTTCTCTGAGATTCCCAGATCTCCTATTCAGTACCTCTCGGTACTCATCACTTACTTGGCATTAATGTGGATTTAGAATCTAATTTCAAAGGATTTCCTCCAGATGTAGTTCTTGTGTTTATCAATAATGCAACCTTGGGAAATACTGTTCACATAAAGCATTTAAAGGAAACCGCCATGGCGACATAATGTCTGTTAGTGTGTATACATGCGTCTGCCGCGCATGAGCACATGCTTAAGTTCAAACAGTTTTGTCTCATAAATATGTAAATTCAGCCTGCCTGTTTTAGTATCCCTGAAGCACACCTGAATATTGCTGCCTGTCTCATTAAATCAGCATAAAGAGCTCAGTGGGGCACGAAGCACAAGTTTCTCTTGGCCACAACTTCTAGGACCAGATGACTAGCAACTCCCAGTGTGAAATGATGAAGTAGAGAGACTAGAAAAAATACCAACCAGAAAGCCTTAAGTGTACACTGTGCAAGAAATGGGCCAGACCCTATTTTCTCATTTAATTAATGTAGGCAATATTTTCACATTAGACCCAGGATTGGAACAGAAGGCTCTTGTCATATAGAAGGCAGACAGAAAAGATCAAGTGATTATCAGGCCTCTCTTGGAGTGATCTGTCCACATGAGTGACTCAGAACTAGCTCAGCAGAGCTGTTGGTATCACTCATTTCCAACTGGACTGGGCATCAGGATCACTGAGAACTGTTGGCACCACAGATGCCCAGCTCGGCCACTGAGATCCATCCAATAAGTGAAGGGCATAACTGGGAATTCTAGTTTAAGTACAATTTATTCTATTTGGAGATTTTACAGTTCAGACTCAGGAGTTTATTCAACTCTCAAACCATTTGTGCCTCTACAAACATAAATACAATGATTACTTCACTATTAGGCTTCTTAATTTAAATAATTCATTGTTTTGTTACAGAACTATAATTGCTTTATTTTGTGCAAGAGTACAAGACACTTAATTGCATCTAGTTGCTTCAATATGTAGAGATTAAAGTAAGCTAAGCTAAAAAAGCAAAAATTAATCGTAATAGTATTTAAATGTGAAACCCTCAAACACATGAATTGAAAAGGTATCATTTCCTTCTGTGATAATTATAAGTAGATATCATTTTCTAAAACTCCTGATGCCTTCACTCTGCATTTCAGGGATTGCTTAGACAGCATGTATAACCCTAGGCAATACACACTGACTTGTGTCATCTTTACAAATATCTTGCACCAATAAAAAATTATTTATGGTACAGAGTTAATAGCAGTCTGACCTTCAGATGACTCAAAAAAAAAAAAAAAGAAGTCAAGCATAGCCTAGCATAGGCAAACAGAGGGAAATGTAGTAGAGAATGTGCTAGACCATGAGCAAGTTGTCCTGTTGGAGTCTTAAGTCTCTCTAATCAGATAGCTTTATGTAAATAAGGAGGGGGCAGATAGGGAGAGGGAAGGAAGATATCTCCATGTTTTCATCTGTAAATAAAGCACTTAGTGTCTTAAACTATAACTTCCCTGCTGGAGTGATGATTCTGTATAGTTTCTAAATATTATAATAGCCTAACTCTACAAAAGCAATGCATAACCTTGAACAAGTCACTTCCTCTAGTGATTCAGTGTACTTCTCTGTACAAGCAGGCAAGTTAGGTTTAAAGAAAAGGGGAACATTAATAGAGAGCCAATTAAATATACTTTGAAATGCCAACAACTTTATTTGATGGCTTTGATATGGTATTAATAAGCATGTTTCCTATTTGCACTGGATTTTAACCTTGCTCTAGAATTGCAAAAAAAAAGCTTACTATATTATGCTAATTATTTTGCTTGGCTATAAATAAATCCAAGCAAAGAACTGAGCCCCCCGCCCCAAAATAAGTTGCCCAAGATCACATGGAAACATGATTAGAATCCTATGCTTCTATTCTTGGTTTACAAGATTAGTAGTCTCTTGAGTATATGTAACCCCCCCAAAAAAAATCCTTAGTCACCTTAAAGCCTAAGCAACACTACTTTCAAAGAAAATATAAAGCTCTAGCATGGCAACCAAGAATTAATGATTTGACCTCTACCCTACATTATTATCATCTCCAGTCACTCACTCTCCACCCTAACCTCCTATCCCTTCTCTGACTGGTCTCAGTGCCTTTGTGCATCCCTTAATCCTCTGGAATGTCCTCTCCCTCCTTATAGTGTGACTAACCTTTGTATTTACTTCAAGGTTCTGCCAAAATATCATGGCCTCAGTTAACTCCTTGGCTTCCTTCCTGCCTCTCCTCTCATCGGGGTTAGGCTCCCTCTGGCTTGCCCTAACCTCCCAGGCATTTATATATAGTAATCCTCAGATATCAAAATATAGTCATAGTTCTGCTACTCTACCCTCTCACTAAACCATGAGCTCCTTGGTGGCAGAGACTGTTTCATTTGTCTACACCCAGAATCCAGCTCCAGCACAACTACTGTGGCCATTCACCAAACCGCCAAAGAAACCAGACCAGCATTTGAAATGAATCCCCTTCGCTCCCTCCACCCTGCCTCTTTCCCTTCACATATTCAGCGCCCATCAGACCCCAGCTACCATGTCATTGTGCCCCCTCTTACATCTACAACATTAAGATTACCTAACACTATACCATTCTGTACAGTAATTGCTAACCACAGGGGGATATTTGAAATAATTTAAAAATTTCAATTATTTAGTCTAACCACAACTCACAAGCGAAAGCCTCTGTGGCCACTGGGAACCTTATTGCACAGGGTAGATACAGAACATTTCCACCATCACAAAGTTTAACACTGACCTCAGGGTCGAAGACACACCCCTCCCATCAGTAAGACAGAAATGCTAGAGAAAATGACATTGAAAGTAAACCATTTAGGGCCTCCCCGGTGGTGCAGCAGTTGAGCGCTGGGCTGTGAAGCTGCCTGTGGCCTCTGCAGTGCCGGTTCGATCCCTGGGCACCGGTGAGGGTCCCACATGGAGTGCAGACCTCTCCTGCTGCGCCCGCTGCTCCCCTCAGCTGTGTATTTCGTCAGTCTGTTCTACTCCCCTCTCTGGCTCTGGTGTGTTCTCTCACCCTCCCGTGCTTCTGATTGTACCCAGTGCTTGTATAAATGAATAAATAGATCTTTAAAAAAAAAAAAAAAAGAAACTAAACCATTTTGTCCCGAGAAACGACACTGGCAACCTGTTAATGGCTTAAGTGTACATGGAAGGTAAAAGCTGAACAGCTGCTTCTTGGTCAGAAATACTTTTATTAATGTTTTTCTATACATAGAAAAGAGATGTTAAGGTTAACTGAAATTAGTTTTACTCCCTGATAAATGTAGGTTTTAGTATATTTTTATAAATCTATGTGCCTTCCTTCTTACAAGTTTTTTTAGAATCTAGAAAGATTATAAGACACAATTAAAGGATTTCAGTTTTCTTATTTAGCCTATCTCTGCAAGGATATCTCTGTTTGTCAATTAATGGCAATCTTAAAAATGGATTTAGGAAGATCTGTTATCTCCATTAATAATAAAACCTTCACACCAACAATAAACATTTTAGAGAATTCATATCTATTACTTCATTTATTCTATCTTCTCTCCAATATGATTTTAAACACTACAAATTTGGAACCAATTAAATGATTTACTCAATAGAATATGTATGAATTGTGTTTGTATTACATATAAAGATTTCTCAGTGAAAGATACAGGAGAATCTATCTGAATTTGATTGCTTTTTTTCTGAGCTGAAACTTGATAAACTTTTTTCTTGGCCTTTTGGCATAATAATGTTTATGAACATTACCATAAATAAGCATGACATATGCACTCTGTCACATTTATTTTAAGCCAAGGAATAAATGTTGGATAATGCCTGAGTGATGAAGAAGTGAAACCAGATTGAAGTTGGAGGCAGGGAGGTGATCAGGGGAGAAGGGGCTTTTTTCTACCTTTATTGTGACACATGATATGTCAGGTTAAGTCAGATACATCCCTTGATTATAATCATATCAAAATGAAATTTATACAAAAGTGAAAACACAATGTTACAATTTACTTTACTTGGGGCACAGGAAGTTTAAAGTTTTAAAGAAATGCATAGAGTTTTTAAAAGACTAAGCAACACGAGTAATGAAGGACAATTATTTCTTTCTCATGAAATACTTATCACTCAGCAGTTTCTAGACCCTAGTCCTGAGTTTTACAAACATGGATGTGTTAAAGAATTATGTTTGTCTATTTCTGGGAGATACATGCTCGTGAACATATATTCCCATAGAAAGGTGATGTATAAAAATTTAGATATGTTATTGTTGTTTCTCTTTTTTTCCCCTCTCCTATAGGAAGTGGTTTCAGATGAAAGGCATCAAGGTGGACAGTTACTGGAAGAACCAAAGTTGCTGCATTTCAAAGGGAATACTTTTAGTCTACAGATCTCTGTCCTTGATATACCCCCATTCCTCTGGAGAATTAAACCATTCACTGCATGCCAGGTACTGGCAAGTGGGTTTCTAATAGAAATAACTTTGTTTTCTGATGAAGGTACTCCTGATGTTCCTACTTCTTCAAAAGTATGGATTTAATCTCAAAACTGTCACAGAAATTTAATGGTTTGGACTACACACAGGGAATGAAATCTGTCATAAGTTCACAAGCTACTAACAGGTGGGGCATAGGGTGCTTGCATGTCAGGTAATGACAATTCTCTCTCCTGTTTTAATTGTTGCTCTATGTAAGTTGAAGATGGTAATTTAACAACTTAGAGGAATGTCTGTTTGGTTTTTTAATTAAAATCAACACATTAGGATACATCATTTAATCATGTTCTGCAATGAGTGAACTGGATGTTAGTGAGAAACCTTTTAAGGGTAATGGTTTTAAGTCTAGAGTACTGGTGGCTGATAAGTGGGGCCAAGAGTTTTTATATGAATATATCAAATGTATAAGATGGGAAGAAGAAATTGTAAATTGAGAGGCAAAAAATGAATACATAACGATATTTATATGTTATTGTTCATCTATAGTTACAGAACGACTTAGGATCTGCTAGGGCCATTTTTAGGGATTTTGAGTAGTCACTTAATGCAAAAAGATCTCCTACCAATTTGTGACCCTCCCATTGAATCCTTTGGAAATAGCCAGTTTTGATAAGTATTTTATCATAAGCCAGCTGGTATGCTATAGTTTTTTAGCATCATCTGTGCTTCAAAATCTAGAACATTTCCTTATCTCTGGAAAAGGTTCTGGTGGATTCCTATTGATATGGAATCATGTGAGGCTTTCAAACATCTTTGTTCTGATCATTAAGCATAACTTTCATAGTCCTGTGGATTATTTTTTTTAACTTTCCCATCCTTGCAGCGTTCATTTTTTTAAAATGCACAAGGTATGCCTGCTTGTCAGAAGGAAACAAGCTAAATCACAGGATGAAGGTGACAAAAGTTGAATGACCAGCCTTTTCAATTTAAAAAATTCAGAATTTTCTTCTATTTCTTTTAACAATGTCTTATAGTTCTCATTTTTAGGTCCTTCACTTCTGTTAAGTTTACTAGGTATTTAATTATTTTTGTTATAATTATGGCTGGGATTGCTTTCTTGATTTCTTTCTCTTCTAACCAAATTAGACAAGACCTCATTCTCCTGTTTTGTTTTGTTTTTTTAAAGATTTATTTATTTATATAACCAAGCACTGGGTACAGTCAGGGGTGCGGGAGGGTGAGAGAATTCACCAGAGCCAGAACGGGGAGCAGAACAGACAGATTGACGAAATACACTGCTGAGGGGAGCAGCGGGTGCAGCAGGAGAGGTCTGCGTGCCATGTGGGACCCTCGCGAGAGTCCGGGGACTGAACTGGTACTGCAGAGGCTGCGGGCAGCTTTGCAGCCCAGCACTCAACCGCTGCACCACTGGGGAGACCCTCATTCTCCTATTTTTCATGCTTCTCCTTACTTTGGGAATTGCTCCCTTTAATACAATTTTAGTGCTTTCAAAGCAACACGGTCATCTCTTGGCATTTTCACCTCATGTTTTCTATGAATAAATTGATTGTTTAGGATGTTCTAGACCTAGGTGTCTGTTTCCCAGTAAAGAGTATTCAAAATTTTTAGCCCAAATTGAACTTCAGGATATTATTAGAACAAGTCTTGATAGTCATACAAATTTGTATTAATCTCTATAGGTTAGAAGGTTCTAACTTCATTAGATCTAATGGAAGTAACTCAGGCCTTGAGTAACTGAATTTTAATGTTTGGAGATGAAATAATGTGGGAGAACCATTTCCCTGCAGCAGCACTTAAACAGTTATTCCAACACCAAGATTCCAAAAGAGTTCCATGGAGAAAGGGCTTGGGGAGGTAAGTGCCTGCTGACCTCCAAGTCAAAGGGCATTTGGCTTGCAAGGAAATCCAGCAAACTTTCCTGTTGGGTGGGTTTGATTGTGTGGAGGCTGTGAACATGTTCAAATATTTGCCTTCTGTAATTGAGCATAATTTGAGTCTTGGAAGACTGAGAAATAATTTAATTTTCTCTGCACCAGGAAGTTGCTACCAAGTTTTTGGATTCCTCTTCATTTTTCTTACCCACTAATGGCTTTCAGCTCTTTTCCTCCTTTCTCTTCACCACCCCCATGACCCATCCCTTGCCCTGTCATGACTGAAATCCCCCGGCTTATATATTGTGCTTGTCTCTGGGGCCATGCTGTGTTTGCTCTAAGCATCAGATGTAAGCATTTTGGAAAGGATTTGTATTCAGCCAGCTTGAACCTCATGTAGAACATTATGTGCACTGACAAACTTGGTGTGGATAACAACAAATGGTTCTTTGTTAGGCCTTGGTTAAAAACTAATAGAGAGCTACTATGGAGACAGAAAATCTCACTAATCTTAATGTAATTTTAGGTATCTCCAACTAGCAAAGCTCTTTGTCATTTTCCAAGGCTGCATGTATAAATCTTATTTTCTATCCCTTTCTCTGAGGTCAAATCAGACTGGGTATGAGCATATTCCAAATGGTGTACAAACCTACTCTTTCAAGAAACTCTCCTCTTTTCTGCTGAAAGAGCTGGAATTTCCCAGAAAGATTTAGATCTGAGAGATACCCAGTGCATGGAATATTTTCCCTATCAGGCTGTATAAGGTTTTTAGAATGGTGAGAGTTCAAGGTTGGATCCACCAGAACCTATATATAGGGAGACTAACTCAAGTTTAAATCATGTTGGTTGAGTTTCTGAAGGATTATAACTTATGGAGTAATAAGCTATAGTCCTCACTCCCTGTGAAGTCAGGAGTGACGTGTGAGAAGAGAACACATGATTTCTTAGATCAGGAAACAGTAACACCCATCACCATTCATTAAAAAAAAAAAAAAAAAGAGGCCCATAGTAATGGTACTCCCCAAATAAACAATTACTTATTCCCCCTTTTCTTTATTCACAGGTTAAAATGTCCACCACCTTAGGGCTATGCTATTGTCCCCTCTGCAGATTTTGCAAATTTCCTCTAGGAGGTAAACGATTCTGCTCTCAATAGGTGACTGAAACTTGAGCTCCACAATCACAGATTTCTTTATTTCTTGCTGATTGTGGGATGGAAAAGCTATAATAAACAGTATACAATAAAATATTAATTTATTTTTTTTAAATCCAACAAAACAAAGTCGGGCTGTCACCTCCCTAGGATAAAAGCAGCTGTCTTTCCAGCATGCTATGTGTGTGGAGAATCCAGTGTCTGTCTCCTGCTAGGATGTGATTTACATTCTCTCCATCTGCTAGGAGCCTAATTATAATGGGAATCAAAATGAAAACATTTCCGGAATTCTTTAAACACCCATAACTTTGCTATACTTTGTCCTCCCATATTACTTTTCACATAATTCTTCTCAGCTCAGTGAGCATCTTGGTGGTGTATTTTTTTTTTCTTGAATAAATAAAAGCAAAGATGATTGCCCTGAAAACACTAATCACAGTGCTTCTAATTCCATTATTTTAAAATGTTTTATTGAGAACTATTGGCAGCTGCTACTTAAGTCAACAAAAAATATTCTTTTGGTACTGTCTTAAAATCAGATTTTTAAAATGTTTTGATTGTGTGCAGTATGATGGAAAGAGAAGAAGAGAATTCTGTGTGTGTCGAGTCTCATGTCTGTCTGCAATGAAAGATTATCTCTGCAGTGGGCATTGCTTCTTTACCTTTCTTCCAGTGTTTTCAGGAGAAAATATAAGAAATTTAGCAAGTGATACTAGAGAAGATTTGTTTTAATGAATGGTCAGTGACATTTTTGTTAAGAAGGTAAGCGCTTGCCCAGGATTCAAATCCACTTCTGGAGTTCAAGACTTCAAACTTGATTTCAACTCTATCTGGCCATGAAGTCCAGAACTTTTAATACACTTTAATGACTCAAATTTCAGTTCTAGAAAACAAAAACTTCTTGAATTATCATTGTTAGGCAAAATTACTTTAGGAAAAAGCTCCTGTTAACCACAAAGCCTTATATTAGGAGTTGCTTTCATTGAATGGGACAGTACTACATGACGGTGGTTTGGGAGTTTACTCAAAGCCTATTAAACTCAGCATGCAATACAGATGGAGCATTAGATAACAGAAGCTCCAGGGTTCCCTTTCTAGTCTAGCCCTGATACCCTCATCAGCTCCAAGTAGTAGAGACTGAAGATAGATTGGTAAGTTACTATAATTAGCTAAAGTGATATGAGAGGAGGTCAATAATTGAGGTAGGAGATAGGAGAAGAATGACAATGACATTGGACCATGGTGGAAGACTGTGTGCTTTGGTGGTGGAAGTGCTACAGTGACTGCAACTGAGGGGCGGGGGGAATCCTATACTGTTAAAATACTAACAGGAATGTAAAACAACAGAACTTCAATAAAAATAATTACTACCTCTGAGTTAGAAAAAAAAAAAAACACGACAATGAACAAGAAATAAGGATAAAAGGTAGACTTGCCTGAAAAAAGTAAAGGCCAAATAAGATTATTTTTAAAGATCCAGGGTCTCGTATCAGTGATCATACAATAAATGCTAGATATGTAACTATTGGATTCTTCCACAGAGAGAATCCAGTTGGTCTGTGTGAGCAGATGAGACCTTGAAAGTTTCAGCAGGCAGATAGAGAAGTGCTGGAGGCTGAGATTTAATGTAAGGATTACCCAGTTTACAAAATGGTAGGAAGCTTCAGAAAGAGAACCTTTCAAAGGATCAGACTAGACAAGGAGAAAAGGCAGAACTTATAAACACATATTACTGCCTTTATATGGTGAAGCATTTGGGGTAGGTAAAAAGTATGAGTATTTCAGGGAAAATACCTTCCTCTAAAGTTTGCTGGGGAGCTATACCAATCAGAAGTGCCCTCTGCTACAGTGTCTCCCACAAAAGGAAGAAAGAAAAGTGCATAAATGAAACTGAATAGGAGCCAGAGGCAAAGAGGCACCATTAAATGGACCTTCTCCCTGGAGATATAAACAAGTTGTGGCCCAGCCTAGTGCTTCCCTCAAGGCTGCCCCTAGGGCCTCCCTAATGGCACAAAGTGTTAAGTCTCAGCACTATGAAGCTTATCTGCAGCCACTGCAGCACAAATTCAATCCCTGGCCAGGGAGCTAATCCACATGGTGCAGCAGACCTCTTGTGTCTCGCTGGCTGCTGCCCTCAGCAGTGTATTTTAGTAGATCTGCCTGTTCTGCAACTACTGCCTCTGGTGAATCCTAAGCCCCCTGCACTTCTGACCTATACCCCAACTCTTGTATGCATAATTTTTTTTTTTTTTTTATAAAAAAGGCTGCCCCTAACAGAGAGCCTCCTTTCAGAATTCTCCTGCTCATGTTAGTTTTTGAAATAACTTCAAATCCACTTGAAATCCAGAAGCCTCTCCAAAGCTCACATGTACAGTCAGGTGACATCTTTGGATCAGCCTGCTGACACTAGAGGAGCCGGGAGGACCTCCACTGTATCTGAACTTTTCAAGTTCAGCATAAACGTCTCTTACTGACAGAATGGACATGTGAACCTCCTGCAGACAAGAAAGTCTATGGAATGTAGCTTTCAGAATTCCAGCCCCTGCCATGTAGGGTAGAACTGAGAATAGTCAGGATGAGGTTGCAGACTAATTGCTTACATCTTGCAAAGGAGTTAAGTCAATGAAATGGCACAGAGTGTCACACATATAGGCCTTCTCAGAATCCTAATCTTTTCTTGATTCAGGATTAAGATCAAACAAAACAGATAAAACCGAAAGTGGTGTGTGTGTATGTGTGTGTGTGTGATGTATGTATGTCATTTTGCAGCAGGTATCATTTTTGTGTGGCTACTTTAGCAACATTGTGTTCTGTCATGTTCTGAGTGTGTAGTGTGGGCGTAAGTTCTGGTCAGTCCCTGAGTTTTCATTTATAGGAAGCTATCATCCTACCCCTGGCTTAGGTAGAAGAATGGCCCGTAGGCGTCTTCTGAAGAATATTTTTCAAGTGGAAAAAAATGAACACTTGATGGTATGCTTTCTAATTGTGTGTGTCACGAACTGAAATCTGAGCTCTTGCAGTGTGGTTTGGAATTCATGTTATCAATTGGAATTGACATTAATTACTTTTGTGCTGCTTTGGCATATGCTGGAACATTATTTCTACAACAATTCTACCAAAGTCACTTAGGCAATTATCTCTGCTGCGATCAGCGTCATCATCATCATAATTATTGCTATTAAGTCTCTCCTGTTCTCCACGCATCTCAGCCCAACTCCGCATACCATACCCTCCCTCCTCTCCCCTGCAGGAAGTCCCCTTCTCCCGCGTGTGGTGCAGCAACCGGCAGCCCCTGCACTGTGCCTTCTCCCTGGAGCGCTACACGCCCACCACCACCCAGCTGTCCTGCAAGATCTGCATCCGGCAGCTCAAAGGCCATGAGCAGATTCTTCAAGTGCAGACGTCAATTCTAGAGGTGAGCCTTTGATCTTCAAAGTCATTTGACCTGGTTTCTCAAGGACCGTTAGAATAATATACCTATCTAGGTGGTGTGGTGCAGGTTCTGAAAGAGCTACAGAATGCACTAAGTCTTTTAATCCTCATGAATGATAAAGGGAAAATGAAATTTTTCCCAGGTGGAGGATTGAACTAGCTTCCCACTGACAAGAACTTAACCCCTCAGAATGGAGACTCTGTGGTGGGACCTTCGGGAAAGGAATTGCTACAGGTTTTTTATACACAAAACCACAGTCTGTCATTGTAGGCTTAGGCTACCAATTGAAATCCATTATCGTCTGACAATACCATTGAGACGCAGACCATAAAAGGCACAAGGTCACCATTAGCCTCTTTTTCTGATGGTTCTGACTAGTTTTCCTAGTTAGTTACCCCATGGGTGTTATTTTATCAAGGTCTTGGTTCCTTATTGTCTTATAATTTCTCATACTCTCTAGGGTTCTGCACACCCCCACTTCCATTTAACCTAGATTCATTAATACAATAAGATCACATAGATACAAATTTCATTTTACCAAGTAAGGAAATGGAAGTGCAAAAAGGGAAAGGACCTGCCCAAGGTTGTATCACTATTGAAAAGCAGAGTTAGAATGAGTATCAAAGGATAATTCACTTGGTCTCTGCAATGACCCATTAATCCTAAACCACTGAATGAATTCATGGCTTTGGATTGAATTTATAGAGTAGACAATGTAATGTGGGGTTATGTAGGATTATGAATGTTTATGTGGGGATACATGAGGGAGTAGCTGAAGGGTAGAAGCATGTGAGACATTTGTTTAGCAAATCTAAAATAATGCCTGGCTAATTTAGAAAATACTTATTGGTCACCTATAGAATATATTAATATATATGTATATAGATATATACACACAGTTGGCATATAAACATATAAATAATATGTTCATTTAGGCTTGACAGAAGGTTTAACACACTTTATATATACATGGAACTCAATTTCCGTTTTTTTTTTTTTTTCTTTGAAAACTCTTGGTCTTACAGCATTATTACTTCCTTCCATTCTCATTTCAATTCATTGTTTATGCAAAATGAGTATTGCTAATTCCCCAAATAGTTTTTCTGGAGAGCGAATGGCTTTCCAAAGCATTGTGCCTTAAAATTGATAGCTGTCTTAACTGACATGTTTATACAGTATTTGCATTCATTATTGCCAATTAGCATTATGCTCTAAAGTAGCTTTGATAGGGAAGGTAGATCCAGTGCATCCTGGGGTAAGATATTTTTAGAGTATCTTTCTTGAACAGTCATGGCATATTTAACAGAGTACATTTCAAAGTAAAATAAAAATTGTAGGAAAGTTTTAAAATAAAAACAAAAGGAAACTCTAAAAAGAGCTGGTATTCAAGGTAAGCATGAAGAGGCAGAACTTAAAGATGCCTCTGATGCAAATTGCCCTAAAAATGTTAACAGATCAACCAAAGAACTGCAGATTTTAAAGGTTTTTTTTTTGTGTGTGTTTTTTTAAGCACTCAGATATTGAGGATCAACTTTGGCTATTACAACATATTTGTGTAAAAGGATTGTGCGAAGATTGGTACTTCCTAGCACTTTGCCACTTGCTTAAATAAATTCTGGAAGTACATAGAAGATAATGAGCTAGTACACACAATCTTAGCCTTTGCCCTCTAATTCTTTTAACAATACTTCACAACTCACTTTGAAATGCTTTGAAAAAGATGACATCATAGCATCTCTTGATAATAGGAGGCAAGTATCGGAACAATATTTAGATATTCATTGATGGGCTCTATTCATCCAGTTTGTAGGCTACTGCATTTTAGATTTTCTATTAATCCTTCTGATCCTGTCAAAAATCTTGTTTTTTTCTTTACTATTTCAAATACTACTGTTGGAAATCAGCCAGTGCATATCCATCTTTGTCACAAACCATCTTTCTTAGACAAATCTGATTCATTTTCTATGTCTGAAGAAAATAGCATTTGAAAACTACTATATTGCAGGTATCACTACATATGCTTTCATATACAACAATGACAAAGCTGTGGATTAAGTACTATATGATTCCAACTTTATGTGCTTAAGCCAGTTAAAAGAGATTGTCTTTCTTGTCTAAAACCATAGAGATAACAGGATGAAGAACAGGGTTCCTAACTGAGATACCTGACCTCCAGATCAAAGTCTGGATTCCCACACTACTCTATTTTAGGATTCCAAACAAGGTCTGATGTATCAATCCTAACAATGGACCTTGACTATAATATAGACCTTCTGTGTGGGGACTGAGGTGCTTGAGATGAACATCACAGTACTAGCAATCTTGCCTTGAGTATGAAAACTGGGAATTTCTTTCCTCAAGACCGTAGAAGTATGGGATGTAAACTATTTGTGTGATGGCCTAGAATATGTGTTCATTTGAAAGATGTTCAAGAATAGAACAGCTTTCCCACATGTAGATTTGCCTGTAGATTCAATCTTGATTGATCCTTGATTGAATCTTGAGTGATGATCACCCAAGGTCTTTCCAACCTTGAGACAGTCTCACTCCTGGAAAAGCGTACCTTTAGTGATCTTGGTAGTGAATATTTTTCCCCTAAAAATGACTTGGTTTTTGCAGGAGAACAAGTGAAGGCACAGAAAGTGTTGAGAAATTGCAATTACCTGGGGAAGTGGCAGGATATAGTCTAGAGATCAGCTATTAAAGGAGATCATACTGCATAGGCCCTGGACTAAAAGAGATTGCATTACATTATCTTAATAAGTTAGTAGTAGGATTTTAATAATTAAAAATAATATGGAAATGAAACTTGTGAAGTGTTTAATAGATGTGTTTAGATTATTTTTATTCCCCTTTCCCTCAAGCAAACAAAGAAAATCCCTATATGTTTAGGCACAAAATTTCCACCTTACTTTAATGAACTATCTCAGTATCACTATTTCATGAATTCAGCAATGGCACTATAAAAAATAATACATATTATATGCAAAATAATATTGATTTTAAATATCTAAATCAGTGCAGTAACTATGCTCTTGAAGGCATTTGATTCTTTTCCATTCAGCTTCACATCCATCATATCTAATCATGCCTCTTATCTGAGTTGTTTTCCAAGTAAATACCATCGTCCATATCATTCACAGTTAAAATTGTTTCAGTGATCAAGATAATATATCTTCTCTTTTCTTTACAGTGGCCATTACTGTGTCAGTCTTTAGAAGCAGGTGGATTCCCCTTAAAATTAACCCAATTCAATGGCCTCATGATGACAATCAATTGTTACTGTATAAAGTGACAATATCACCAGTGTAAAAACTGTGGACTAAAGCAAAATCATTATGCTAAAATTGAAGAGAAGAATCCTGAGTATTTTATCATTCCTTATTAAGGCAACATCATTAAAGAATCTATGGTTTGGTAAAAACTACTTAAATTGGAATCTTACATGGTCCAATTTCCCTTCAAGCAATTCTCTTTTTTTACCAAAAGTGGTAGAAGTTTGAGGATGATTAGTCTGTTACAAAATGGACAGAATACTTGGGATTTCTCATTGATTTACAACTCCCAAGCTATCCAGGTAGCAGCAGCTTATCTCAGATGTGCAGAGCATGAAAATCTACTGTTGCTCTGCATATTTAATTTAAACAATCAGAAAATGTGATGTATCTACAGGATTCTTATTACTTGGCCCAGATGTCTTTTAGAATGCATCATAAATGTTACATAAAGTGTCATCTTATGTATGGAAAATATTTAAAATTGAAAACTTTGTGAGGGAAACAGAGGCACTTGTTAAAGTGTGCTAAATGGAGAAAATTGTTCTAGAGTCAGTCTTCTAGAATATTTTATTCATCCTTAAATTACACTATCCTGTGCAGCTTTTTTCTTAAGATATTATATATCAATGTGGTCTTTCTGCCCACAGTAAAATCAGCTTGGTCAACTTGGTTAATTCAAAGATGCCATGTGGACATCTAGAAGCCAGTTCTCTGTCTATTGCAAATCTCTAGCTTGGATATTTTCAGCTACATTTTCAAGCCACCTTTTGTCAGATTAACATATTTTGGTGTCATTTTACAATGACAGCTACCATGTTATCATGCATAGAAATCCTTTTTTACTCGGTATAGTTTCTACCATCCTTTTAAAGAATACTGTCCTTCCTTAAGTTAGGCAATATTTAAGGAAATTATTCCTTTTGGTATGCATTTTTAAAGGCTAGATGAAATTTTATGAACTATGATATAAACGATGTTATCTGTAACTTATTTTATGTAATAAGAAGCCTGAGTTGGTTTATTTTATAACCATTAATATAAGAGGAATTGTCCACTATCTACCTGAAATCACCTTAACCACTTAATTTCTATTCAATCAATAGCTACCCAGCCATTAAGACCCACTCAAATGGCTCTTCCATGAAGCTCCTTTTACTCAATTCCTGAAGCAAAGTGATAATACCACTCAGAGAGCATTTTTTTCATAACCACCCCACTCTGGATTTCTTGGTACTTGTCTCAAAGCAAGTAGCACAGTGATATCAGAATTCAGGTTTCAGCTGTGTCATCTATCTCGATAACTTTTACCAAATTTTATAACCTCTGAGCAATCTAAATGAATTCCAAAATGTTTCTGTTCAGGAAACAGCGGCTGAGAAGAGGTCATACAGCATCCATGATCACACGGAGCTAGGAATGGTAGGTTCATACTCTAAAACAAGTTCTTCCTGACTCTAAAAACCCTGCTTTTTATATTACAACTTGCTAATCCCAAATACTGGAAGAACTTGGATGTACATTGTTCCAGGCAATAGAACTAAAATCAGTAAAGTAGAATATATTCAAAATGAAAATATATACTTTGCATTTCCGATAAAAAGATATATATGCAGCATTTTTCAAATGCATTTGGCCATTGAACACCTTCTTATAACATCATCTGAGTTACTCTCTGAAATGACAATTTGAGGCATTGTGTTTCCAAAGCACAACCCTCAAAATTTTACCGTGTTAGAAACATCAATTCCAAAGAGCACCTGCACCCCTATGTTTATAGCAGCACTGTTTACAATAGCTAAGCTTTGGAAACAACCCAAATGCCCAAAAATAGATGACTGGATCAAGAAGATGTGGTACATATACACCATGGAATATTACTCAGCATTCAAAAAAGATAAACACATGCAATTTGCAGCAACATGGATGGCACTGGAAGGGATCATGCTCAGCGAAATAAGCCAGAAAGAAAAAGAAAAATACCGGATGGTCTCACTCATAGCAGGAATCTAGAAAACTTAAATAAGGGACCAGGAAAATGAATAACTATAAGAAAGTGAAAATCAAAATCAACAAACAACTATGAACCAGAGACACTCTATGGGGGGTGGGAGGGAGGGGAGGGATTGGAGTCAAAATTAGGGGGTTGCAATTGTATGGGGAATATAAAAATAAAATTTATTTTAAAAAATTGCCGTGTTATATGGTTACAGAAAGCCAAAACACAGCATCAATCATTAATAAGATCTCTATATGAACCAGTTTTCTCAACTAACAGATTTCGGAAGGAGTAATGTGTATCGAGGGTGAAGAGTAAAGCTATGCAGCCTGAGCACTAGCTGAGGAGGACTGTCATGGCTGTGATGCCCACATATGATGGATGAAGATTGGGAAATGAGTCAAGGCAGATGACAGGGTACTCAGGAAGGGTGTGTGTTGACTAACTGGACAATATGTTATGTTCCTAATGTAAAGGATAGTGTTTTGGGGTTTAAAATGCCCTAGCTAGATTTTTTAGCCCAATCTCAGCTGTGAAGTTCTAATTTCCCTTTAATTAGATTTCTTTTGCTGCATAACAGATTACCACAAATTTAACAGCATATATCAACATGTTTATTGGCTCACATTTCTTGCCACTACTGGACTGCTGCCCTTCTCTGATCTGCATCTCACAAAACTGAAATCAAGGTGGTGGCTGTGTACACACACATTCTCATCTGCAGCTCAGAGTCCTTTCCAAGCATATTGAGGTTATTGACACAAACTAGTTCCTTGTACCCATAAGACTAAAAATCCCCATTTTTTTTTTTAATTTATTTTTGTGTAGAAGAACTGGGATGTAGGCCAGAGGTGTGGGGGTGGGAGGATTCACCAGAGACAGAGTGGGGAACAGAACAGGCAGATCTACTGAAATACACTGCTGAGGGGAGCAGTAGGGCGAGATAGGAGAGGTCTGCTGCACCATATGTGGGTTAGCTTCCTGACCAGGGATCGAACTCAGGCTGCTGTGGTGATAGCACTAAGACTTAACACCTAGGCCCCCATTATTTTTTTATTAGTGTTGAACAGGGGTCACTCTCAGAATCCTCAGGTCAAAAGATATACCCCTATTTATAATACACAGCATGGTCATTTGCTTACTTCCAGACTACCTGGAGAGACACCTCCAGATTACAGTTCCTCTTCTCTCTTAAGGGCCACTTGATCAGGTGAGGCACACCCAGGAAAATCTCTTAATAAATTCATTACCAACTGATTAGGGACCATAATTACATTTGCAGCAATCCTTGTGTCTTGTAACACGTAATCACTGGGGTAACTCAAATACTTTTCAGGCCTTAAATTCTACTTGTCCACAAAAATTAGCAATCACTCCAGTCTGTTGGATTCCTGTGTTAGTAGCACGTTGGATATGACAATCTAATAGCTATGATGTACTAAAGCAACAAATCCTCACTAGACACACTAATCAGAGGCAGGTTGAGCAGGTAGCAGGCAGAAGCTCTCTGGCCTGCACCATTACAAGGTAAGTCTAGTTCTCACTACTGCTCAAGATTGGCTCATATTTTTACTGAAACAATTGAATTATGAGCCAAGAGAAAAATATTTACTGTAGAATCACACATCTCTAGGACTGGGGAAAGACATACTTTCAGATGATCAACAATCAATTCCCCTCAGTAGCTTTCCTGACAAGTGGCTTCTTCCTACCATCTCCTTTGATCAGCCCATGACTTTTGGTCAGTTAGAACTATAAGGGGGTCACTCCTTGCATTGAATTAAAATATGTCATTTGGTAGTTTCTTTTGTTGATTCTATATCTATCCTGAGAGCCCAAAAAAGTCAATCCTTTTCATACCTGATATCTCTCTGGATTTTGGATGCTGAAGATTTGTCTCTCCTGACTAGAAAACTGTGGTGAATATCACATTCACAATTTACTAAGCTACTAGATAAGTTATTTACTATTTTAGGAGGGGGAATTATCAGTGTGTTTTATAGAGTCCATCATAACAGGCAAATATCTTGTACATGTGTGTTAACACAAATTTTCTTTAAAAATAAGAGCACAAGGGACTAGGGAGATGGTGGTGCAGGGGTGAACTGTTGGTGGAAATTCTATGGGGACTACACCTGAGAAAAGAAAGCAAACATTGTAATAAAATTTAAAAAATGATGTAAAATATATATAAATAACTTTGTTGACCAGTAAATTCCTTCCAGTTGGATTTGATCATGTTTTCCTTATTTTTTTTTTTATAGAGTGAAAGAGAAACTATCACTTTCTTTGCACAAGAGGACAGCAGTTTTCCTGCCCAGACTGGCCCTAAAGCCTTCAAAATTCCCTACTCCATTAGACAACGAATTTGTGCTACATTTGATACTCCCAATGCCAAAGGCAAGGACTGGCAGATGTTAGCACAGAAAAACAGCATCAACAGGTAATCGGGGGCACCTTCTGAAAGGATTTTATGAGTAAAGCTTTGAAAAATAAAGTGGTATGGGTGTATCCACATGGTTTCCAGGCCCTGCTAACTTTATGGATTGCTCTGACCATACTTCCTGTGAGGTCAAGTTAGTGGAAAAAGGGCAAGAATATGACATCATGTGGGGCATTTCCTGCCATCTCAGTTTTCTTTTGCGACAATATGGAAAAATCCTCTTTGATCCTGGTCCCATCTCCAGGTTTGTTCATTGGACCACCCAAATGGGGGATTAGTCAGTGTCAACCTTTCACTTGAAAGGGATCCCAGAGGAGTGTTGAGCCAGTGACACAAACAAAACAGCAGCTTTCTCATACCAGCTCCCTCCCATCAGAAAACCTTCAGCATTACATATCCCTTCATGGGGTCATGCTCAGTCTGCAAAACTGAGTACCTCAATGCAAAAAAGGAAGTTTAAGGATGATAACTCAAGTCAGAAGGCAGAAAGCATAAAATAAGCAAAAGGTTTACCTAGGCACTGTGAGAGAGTACACTGCTCAACCCGCCACTACTATTGTGCTAACACTGGGGTTGAGCTGAGAATAGAAGAGAGTGTGATAACAAGCTTTGCTACTCTATGCGAGAGAGACAGGGGTGATGCTTTCCAGAGGAGCACTGGTAGGACAGGCAGGTTTGGCTTCAGCTGAAGGGATAACTAGCAGTGAGAAGGTATTGACAAATAATAACCCTACTGTATGACACAGAATGATTAGGTAGAATCTTGCCAGAACGTTTCATCTCCCTTTCCTTTGGTACCATTTTTTTCCTTTTGAAGCAAAGACTATTTTCTTACCGTTTGACTTGCTCTGTCATTTCCATTTTTTTGTCCTTTATTCTCACAGACATCCTACCTGACTTTCTTCTCTGAAAGGGAAGGTGCATGTCTGCCAAGAAAGGGTAGAGGGCTGCTCCCCGTTTCTAGGAATCCAGAATCTGAGAACCAAAGGCCCAACTAGAAAATAGTCAGGCTCAGAGAAAAAAATCAAGAGAGGAGGATCCAGCAAGAAAGAACTTGGCTTTCAGAAACAGGCAGACCCCCCAAAATAGATACATTCTTGAAAAGGCATATATTGAATATAAAAGAATACAAAAATGTCTGGCTGTACAGAGGTGAGGGGAAATTAAGTTGAGTATTTCCAACCACTTTGACAAAGGATGAGAGGTCTTATTTATAGCCCATGAACACCATGACTATGTCAAATTCATTTTCTGATCCACATGGAAACTGGCACGAAAAACAAACCCAGAGAATGGAATTGGGTTTAAAAAAGAAAAATAAAGGAGCAGCATTGGGCAAGACTAGCCTCCCTAAACACATCACTTACAGCCAGTGTTTCCTTTTCTACCAATGCAATTCATAGATTTCAAACTACATTAACTCTAATCCATAATGGCTCTGAGAGTTTATGATTTTTAATTCACCATTTACAAGAAAATAACTGCCACCAAAACATCTGTGTACCCATGGACCCTATCGTTAATTTACTGAATGAGAGTGTACATGTTCCTGCTTGTTCCGTTTTATTCTCCATTTACAGTAGACAAAAGGAACTACAGATGTGCAGCAAACTCTACAGTTGCAGATCTTGCACAGTAAGGAAATGCATTTCCTAATGGGGAACTTAGGTGATGCACCCCTTCTGTCTGGGCCTTATGACTGCTGTGGAGCCGACCAGCCCCTCCAGTCTCCAGGGTCATAAAACCTGGGCACTAGGGTGCCTGTATATCTGTTTGGTTTTATGCCCCCAACATCCCAGTATCTCCAGGAAAGCCTAAATTTATCTGACATAAGAAATTCAAACAACCTACTTCATGGCAGTAACAAAAGGCCCAGAAAATGTGGCTTTCCAGTAAATCTTAGTTACTCCCTGGTATTACCCTAATTAGTCGCCAGTAAGGATAGCATGGTCACATGTATTCTACTGTCTTTAAATCTTACTGAAGGCAAATATTTTGAAAAAGTTAAGTAAGATTTAAAGACAGCAGAATAAGCCAGTAAATAGTTTATGCCGCATGGGATCTATTGCAAGTACTCAGCAACCATCTTACTCTGCTTCTGTAGGGGGAAAGCAGCCAGAGAAAAATGCATAGATACGTTAGAGTCCAATAAAGCTTATTCACAAAAAAACAGGCAATGATTCCTATTTGGCCTACAATACATAGTCTGTTGGCTCTCCCACCCCCAGTTTAAATGAGTTGTTTAGTAAAAAATTGATAGGATCGTGTTACTTCAGTCCAAGGAACCCCTGGAGATGAGCTTCTTACTCAGCTCTGCATCCACACCTCTTGGGCAGGGACACAGGATGAGGCCTTTTCTGCAGTCTGGTGTGGCTCCAGTAGAGAGAGACACCAAGACATTTAGAGATGCAGGATAGAAAAGGCTGCTAAAAATGACCTTGTACTGTGTTGGCTAAATCACATTCTTACTTTGGAGGAACTGTCAAATTCCTGTTATGCTTTCATTACTAGATCAAAATTCTCTGTCTTTCATGGAAAGAAACACATGTGACAAAGATGAAGGGGTTTTTCAGATATAATTTGTCACATCTTCCTATTGTGCAATTCCAAATCACTGACTTTCCTCTCTTATGGTTATAAATAACATCGTATGGAACTAAGCAGCAGCGTGTGTGAGGTGCACATCTGACTTGGTCAGTGTGCCAATATTTTGGGGTAAGAAAGCAGTTCCATGGTTTGAGATTTCATCAACGCTGGGATTGCATCATCAAGAGAGTGATGATCACAAAACACAAAGTCCCTCTTTCTGTTCATAAACTCACCTACCTTGATTTACCTGACTTTTCCTGTCCTTTCAATTTCCAAAAATATTATGAAGCTAGTAAAGCAACAGTCTTCAAGTCATGAGTTTTTAAAGGGAGTGAAGAAAAACATTTGCTTTCATTTTATTGCCAGTGAAAATGTTCTCCTACCCTCCTTTTGGTAAAACGCAAATGTCACTGATGATAATCTGCCTTTTTGCCAAACAAGTTTCTACTTAGATCTGAATAGGAGAGAAAAGACATGGAATATAAAGTTAAAGCTTAACAATCGATGAGAATGTGAGAAATGTCAGCGGTGTGTGCTGGAAGGCAGCAACACAGGTGGCCTTGCCACTTGTCTGGCATATGGATCATACTAAATAAGCTGCACAGCCTAGCAAAGAATGTCATGGATAACAGTTGCAGTGATATATTCTGTGAGCAAACTTTGACAATCACTTAGAGTTCATACTTGCTGCATTTCAAAGCTGAGACTGACTGTAAATTCAACTGCAGTAACTCTAAGGTTCTTGGCCACATGAAACTGGTAAGTGGGTTGGGCTAAGTCAAGAACTGATCACATAAGGAGCAAATAGTGGGGAGTACTGATGAAGACTAAACTAATTAATTTCAAAAGCTAACTTCTTCGGCTACAAGGACTCTCTCCTATATAAACCTTACTGCATTTTTTATGACAGTTGAACACACCTAACGTGTACCATCAATTTAGGGAAAATGCAACAAAATTTTCATGAACAAAAGACATGAATTTTTTTCATTGGAATGTATATCTGGCCTTAAAAACTTGCCTTCTGATAAACAGAATTGATTTGAATGAGCACTAAAGGATTTTGAAAGTTGGTCTCAAAGGAAAATAGGTTACATTACTGACATTAAGGAAGATCTTGGGTCTTTTCCTCAGGTCTTACTACCTGACATCCTACTACTAGATCATTCTACATTTAGGCTTCATGATTTGCATATTCCAGAAACCCTTATGAAAACATAGGCAGCTTGACCAAGTTGCTATGGGAACAGATGCAGGATAAAGTTCATGAGATATGGAAGGATGAATAGAAGGGAAGCAGCCAGAACGAAAAAAAGGGATTCCAAAATGGAAAGCAGATAAGCTAAGTCTTATTAATAATAAACTTGTTTGGAAATTTGCAAGCACTGCAGGGAAACATGTTTTTGATTGGTCAGCTCATTAAAATAGTGCAAATATATCTCAGATATTAGTGTTCTCAGGATATGGTGTAGAAATATGGCCGACAACCAGTGTTGTAACAGTTTGTTTTTCCACCAAATCTTTTAACATAACCTCTAATGAGAAACAGCATCTTTTTTGTTGAGGTCATAACCTTTCATTCCCTTTGTCCACCCTCTTTATTGGACATTGGATGGGAAGGAAAAAGTGAAATGGTTACAGGGCATTAAGAAGGGACAGAGGAAGGTCACAAGCTTATTAATCTCCTTTTTATAAATGTTAAGAATTCTCTAGAAGTGGAACAGTCCCAGTGCCAGCTTTCTCTTGGAGTAAAGGAAGAAGGCAGGCAGAAAGAAAGGGGAAAAGATGAATTCAAAATATGGGAAAAATCTGCATCACAAGAGGATCACTAAAGATGGTCACTCAGTGACTGCTGGAGACAAGATATTTTCATTTCTGTGATTTGGGACTTACTATGACTACATCAAACTTAAGTTTTCTTCCTTGGTTCTACAGACTGGAGACTAGATAACACATTTTAACCTATGCACCTGAAAAGTAAAAAATGGATGTGAACTGCCATTTCCAATAAAACAATCTTCTGGCACTTCTAAGGAGAATTCAGACATGGGGTGGAGGGTTGGGTAGATTCTTGGAGACAAAGTAAGATTTTCTGATTCTGACCCAAGGGTCATATGCAGGTCTGAAATTTGATGAGTCCTTATAATGAAGTCAGAGGGACAACACAGAAAAGTGGTGGGTACATGAGCTTTATTCCTTCTACGTCAATGACTCTTGAAACCATCTGCTACCATGAAGCTAAAAACGGGTAGCCAGGAGCAAGGTTAGCCATGAACAGTCTATACAGGTCTTGGGAGTGGCAGGTGTCCATCTGCATCCTCAGGTCAGGATGGAAAAGAAACTTTTTACATCCCTTCATGAGAAGCAAAGTCACACTTCCACTGTGAGTTCCAGGGGTGGTGGCAAGGGAC